GGAATGTGCGCTCGAGCGACCATTCACATTTTACATGTCCGCTCGAGCGTGGAAGTTGTAGCTCGAGCGTAGATTGAGACCAACCAGTACTTTTTCCCAAGTTTGCAGATCGCTCGAGCGAAGGAAGTCTCGCTCGAGCGACCCCTCTCATTATGCATGTCCGCTCGAGCGAGGAAGTCTACGCTTGAACGGGGACCTTATTTTCTAAAAATTTGCCTAAGTGTTCTAACTCATGTTTTGGCATCCTTATTGAATCTTAGGCATTCCTAACACCTAATTAAGCTTTAATAATGAGGTTATGGATTAGAAACACACTAAATGAAGAATGTACTAAGTTCCGAGACTGCAAGTGTGTGTGTGTTTTAGGCAATGTGATAAAAAAGAATAAGAACCAATGTAATGAAAGCTAAGCCTTAATGGCCACTTGAATGTGTAATGATAAGACATGCTTGTATTATGTATTTTGTGATTGTAGGTCAAGACTTGAGGATTGATTGACCGCTTATTGGAACCACTGTGAGTCATGATTTTATGAAATGATCCTAAATTCTTCATGTTTTACAAGTTTACTATGTTATCTCAAGTTTTGAGGCCCAAGAGATGTGTTTTGGAAGGTTGAATTCAAGTTTTGAGCTTGGTGATCAAATCTGGAAATTCCAGAAATTGCATCCACGCTCGAGCGTAGGAGTTCACGCTCGAGCGACCACCCTCAGTGTGTGCACTCCGCTCGAGTGACCAAAAGTCCGCTCGAGCGTGAATTGCAAGCTCCCAGAAGTTTCATGTCGTTTACAGATCGCTCGAGCAAAGGAATGTGCGCTCGAGCGACCATTCATATTTTGCATGTCCGCTCGAGCGTGGAAGTTGTAGCTCGAGCGTAGATTGAGACCAACCAGTACTTTTTCCCAAGTTTGCAGATCGCTCGAGCGAAGGAAGTCTCGCTCGAGCGACCCCTCTCATTATGCATGTCCGCTCGAGCGAGGAAGTCTATGCTTGAACGGGGACTTTATTTTCAGAAAATTTGCCTAAGTGTTTTAACTCATGTTTTGGCATCCTTATTGAATCTTAGGCATTCCTAAGACCTAATTAAGCTTTGATAATGAGGTTATGTATTAGAAACACACTAAATGAAGAATGTACTAAGTTCCGAGACTGCAAGTGTGTGTGTGTGTTTTAGGCAATGTGATAAAAAAGAATAAGAACCAATGTAATGAAAGCTAAGCCTTAATGCCACTTGAATGTGTAATGATAAGACATGCTTGTGTTATGTATTTTGTGATTGTAGGTCAAGACTTGAGGATTGATTGATCGCTTATTGGAACCACTGTGAGTAACGTTATCGTAAAGATACGTTTATATGAAATTATGTTCCAAATGAAATGTGATAAGCTATGATTTCTGAAATGATATCTGTTTTCGTGAACGAATAGTCCATGTTTGAAATCTATTATGGCATCCATAGATAGTCCCAAGTCATGGGGGACGGTATGAAAATGCGGGTCCATGACATACAAGTAATTACGAGATCTCGTTAGCCACTTCATTGTGGTGATATGTGTTTAATCGGTATCCGGAACCGGTTACTCTAGTCGGAAGACATTGTGTAATGTGTTCTATGGGATGTACCATTATTATGTTCTGATATGAGAATGGTTATGCTATGATCTGTTTTCCGCTTATGATATGTTCAGATTTCGTTCACTAACCTCTTTACCTTAATGTTATTCACGGGCTTTAGCTCACTGTTTGTATATATATATATATATGTATAGGTGAGCATTCTGGAGTTCAAGTCTGGAGACTTTTTGTCTGGATCTGTGTTCTGTTGTCAGCCAGCCATTGTGCCTCACGTGGAGGTTCCCGAAGTGTCCTGTGTTCAAGTTCTGTTGGTTCTGTGTATATATATGACTTGATGTAATTCTGTTAGCTGTACTTCAGATACTTTAATGTGTGTGGGTATAATGTATGATTGACTTTTGACTATGTATATAAAGTTTTAAATATTCTGTTTCATATAAGTCAGCACAGCTCATTGGACAACTATATTTATGTATTTGCTTCCGCTAGTCCCTTATTATATGCTTATCTATTCAGAGGCCTTCGGTAATCTAAGGATTACTGGCTGGTTACGATGCTAAACCTATAGGGGCGGGTTTGGGTCGTGACACAAAGGGTTCAAACAGTTCAGAATTTATCACAAAAGATCTGAAATAAAAAATACTCGTCTACAAATTCTCAAAAATCATTTGAGAACTGATTTCCACTTTTCTTAAATCATTTGCACATAACAGATGAAGGATTTATGTACCAGATTAGTGGCTATTCTTCTTGGCAAAAGTTTGAAACAGTTCAGACAAATCACAAAAGATCTGAAACTAAAAAAATACTCGGCTACACTTCTCAGAAATCATTTGAGAACTGATTTCGACTCGTCTGAAATCATTTGTACATAACAGATGAAGAATTTATTTACCAAATTAGTGGGAGTTGAATAGTTATCGCCGGTGATGGAATGTGTATACTGACTAAATGTGCCACTCTTTGCTCGTCTGATTTGACAATAGATTTGATAAATTTGACCTGGAAAAAAAAAATTGAATAAAATTATGGATGAATTTTTCAAATCATTGACCTATAACAAAATATCTAAATAAATTTGTGAGTTATTTCGCCTCGTACTCGTCGTTGTTTGGTTGCCCGTAATAGGAATCTTCTACAACGCACAAATTCTAAGTCAATCGATTTCTAGAAGATGATACGAGTAGGGAGCGGGTTCACAGGATTCATTATTTATAAAATGAGTCTGACTTCTCTGTGAAGTCTATCCGTGACGAATTTTCAGTACTGATGTTTGATACAGAGAAAGAAAGATGAGGTTCACGTGAAATTTTCAGAGACGATGGAAATGGACATTGAAGCTTTTCAGATCAAAAGGGGAAGAAGGCAGAAACGTTGAAAGTGGAGAACTGAAGCACAAGCTTCCAAACGGGTTTTCAAACTGTAGTTTGAATTATATCGTGGAATTGTATTTTGAACGTGCGATCCAAACGTGAAGCGGGAGTTCACGTGTTGAAACTTAATTTGAAAACACAAACAAACGGAGCCGTCATTTTTTTTTTTTGTTAATTCTGTTAAATAAAAAATTATAACAAGAGAATATTTATAATTTTTCAAACCATAAGAGACAATATGAATTTTAAGCAAACCTTTAAGAAATGTATTTATAATTTACTGAATTTCAAAACTAGGCCTTAATTTTGATACTAATTAAAATGGGGTGTCTACAACGTGTTGAAACTTAATTTGAAAACACAAACAAACAGAGCCGTCATTTTTTTTTGTTAATTCTGTTAAATAAAAAATTATAACAAGAGAATATTTATAATTTTTCAAACCATAAGAGACAATATGAATTTTAAGCAAACCTTTAAGAAATGTATTTATAATTTACTGAATTTCAAAACTAGGCCTTAATTTTGATACTAATTAAACTCCACGTCACATGACACGAATATAATTAGGGGCGTAAACGGTTTGGTTTGACCGATTATTTAATAATTTTTCTAATGAACTGATCTTATCGATTTTCTATTATTGTAAAATCAAAATAGACCGATCATTTATATACACTGAACCAAACCGTTAAGCACTTTGCCAGTTTGGTATTTTTCAGTGACGCCCATTTGCGCTATAATGATCATTAGGTTTTGAGAAATCCTAATTCCAATAGGCAACAACAAATTTCCAAGTCCAACATCAATCAAATAACAAAAATTTAATTTAATTTAAAAAAAAAACAAAACAAGACAAATTAAACCCTAAAAATTATAAAAGGAGACCTTAAGCTTGTCAGTGATATATGTTCATAGCTCTACCACGAAGATGCATCACTGACATAGACAAGGAGAGTTTGAGGAAGATGCTAACAATGGAAAAGCAAATACAATGGTATAGGATGCAAATAACAATTCAAATGGTGGTGTATGTTGAGATAGAACACAACAGTTATATAAAAGTGAATCTTTATTTAGATGCAAAGATACACTTAAGTATATAAGAAGACTCTCAAAGACACCTCACTTTTGGAATCACTCACACTCATACACTTGACTCCACTTTTGATTGTTGTGTCTTGTCTTCCAAATGAGGTCACTTCTCTTTATATAGTCATCCACTTTCTTAATGGATGGTCAGGATCATTTTGATTCAAGAGTTATTATTAACTCTCTAGAATATTCTAGCATATACTCATACTTTTCTATATTTTAAAACTCTCTAAACTATTCTAGTATATAATAGTACTTTCTATACTTCTAAAATATTCTAAAACCTTTCGGAACTTTCTAGATTTCTCTAGATTTTTACAAGTTGCTCTAATGTTCTAGAATCTTCTACAATGTTCTAGAGCCTTCTTGATTTCTTTAGATTTTTCTAGAGTCTTCTATATCTTTTCGGAGTTTTTTAAATTATTCAACATATACATTTAATAATCTAAATAATTCTAGAGAAGTCCATGATAACTCTTAAATAGTGTAGACGTCAACCATGGCATGAAGATGGCAGTGTTTGTCGCAAAAGAGTGAGACAGTGGGCTGAGTTTGAAGCTCTACTTTTAGCAAAGGCAGATGAAAGAGAGAGCACAATCGTTTGTTGATAACTTAGGGTTTGAGGGGCTTTGCTTCCAATAAATGAGAGAGAGAGAGTTTGTTGATAGGATTTGAGGATGTGTTAATTTGTTAATATATATGCGTGAACGGTTCAGATCAGTTGTAAGTATTTATATAGACGACTGTGATTAAATACATATTTTCCTCTTAATCGGTACAGTTTAGCGCATACAATTTTCTTATCATAATCACCTCAAATTAAGTCGGACTTTGGTTTTTTATTCCCAACAAAATCGAACAGATTGAGATAACCAAAAAAAAAAACCGACCAAAACTTGCCAGTTTAGACCGGTTCAGACGGTGTAAACGGTTTAGCAATTTTTTATTTTTATTTATTTTTTAATTGTAAATATAACTACCACCACACGATCCACACGATACACCTCCCAAAGCAGACTTATTAGTACTTACATGAAGAAGAGAGAGAGAGAGAGAGAGAGAAGAGAATAGAGAGTACAGTAAACGAAGCTAAAGTGATGGGCATTTAGCTCAAACCTACGACTCTACTGAACTCATTTTCCTCCTCCTCTTTGGGGTTTTGTACTTTCTCTTTACATTTTTTACTTAAGAAAATTATTACAATTCAATGATATAAATATACCTCTCCCAGCAAAAACCCTAAATCTCAATACTCACAATTTGGAAATTTCGCATTACACCATCTCTGAAGAAACTCAACAGCACAGAGAGAGAAAAATGGACAGATCTAGATCTAAAAGGTACTACTACGATCATCAAGACTACGATCCCGAAACCCTACCTCGAACCAAACAACGCTACACCAGCAGCAATCACAACAACCACCACTACTCCCCCATCGGTCACCACCGCCGCTCCGCCGTTGGCGGCGGAGGCGGAGGCGGAGGCGGCGGAGGAGGTCGGAAAGTTCAAGATCCGTCTCTCACGGTGACGACTAGTTATCGGATTCTCTGCCATGATTTGAAAGCTGGTGGTGTGATTGGGAAATCAGGAAGCATAATCAAAGCTATTAGGCAACATACTGGGGCTTGGATCAATGTTCATGAATTGATTTCTGGTGATGAGGAGAGAATTATTGAGATATCGGATACGAGGAGGAGAGATCCGGAGGGTCGAATGCCTTCGTTCTCGCCTGCGCAAGAGGCATTGCTTTTGATTCATGAGAGGATACTTGAGAGTGATGGTGGTGGTGGGTATATTGGTAATGGCGATGATGATGATGATTATGGACCGCGAGGAGGGGGAAATAGGGTTGCGACGAGGCTCGTCGTGTCGAGAATGCATGTTGGGTGTTTGTTGGGGAAAGGAGGGAAGATAATTGAGCAAATGAGGATTGAAACTAAGACCCAGATTAGGATTCTACCTAGAGATCATTCTCTTCCTCGCTGTGTTGCAATGTCTGAGGAAATTGTTCAGGTTTTCGTCATTTCGCCTTTCAACTATTTCCCTTGGATCCAAAATTAAAATTGAAATTAAACTATGAAATCCATTTGAATTCCTGGTGAAGAATCAAGCTTAAAATGGTTATTGTGTGCTCAATTTTTTATTGCCACTTTGTCTTCTTAATATGAAGTAATTGTTATGTGTAGGATATGGCTAACAACAAAATGTTTCCTAAACATTTTCATTTCCATGCTAACACGCACCACATGTGAATTGAAAATTTGATGTTCTTTTTCACATGCTTAATCTTGTTTAGCCAAGTGTGGCATCTTTATTTAATGTAGTTGGACATGTTCAGGGCATGCCCAAGCCCGACAGTTGTGATTGTGTCGAAGGAGTAGGGATGGTGATTTGGCCTGCCTTGCCCTGCCCTGTATTTCCCGCTCCATAATTTTTCCCACCTTGATAAGAAATCGGGAAGGGAAAAAGATTTTCTTCCCCTGCTCTGCACCTTGATTATATTAATTAATTACTTTTTGTATGTATATATATCTGTATGTAATTTAATCTCTTAAATATGATAATAGTAAAACAACAAAACATTCATAAATATTCATTTTTCACCAATCTCTCACCTTTAACTTTTTTTGTTCTCATTACTCATCAATCTTTGTTCCTCGTATGCTATATCATTTCTCTGATTAATACTATCGAGCTCCTATGGGTGGCAAATTACCTTTGTCCCTGCCACCTCCTTGATTTTTGATGCCTTGTCCTCACCCCACAATACTGCCCCTACCCCGTTGCCATTCCTAAGGAGTGCTTTTGGTTAGAAGTGTCTATGTTGCATGGTAGTGCACTACTTAACTTCCATACAGAGTTCTTGTGTTGAGTAGGGGTGTTCAAATTACCCAGTGACCTGAAAAACAAAACCGAACCAAACCGACCTCTTTGGATTGGTTGGTTCTTGAGTGCATTGGTTTGGTTTTGGTTCTTCAAATCATCAAACCAGTAGGATTGAGTTGGTTCTTGATTTAGGCATTGCTTAAACCGAACCAACCCGAGAACCATTCCTATTTATATATATATATAAATTTTATTTATATTGACTTATCTTTGCCTAATTGATCTATTACAATGGACTTAATTACACCTAATAACTTTCATATACAAGAATTATTAGGTGAACGAAGGAAGCAATAAAAGTTTGAGTTGGATTTTGCAATTGATTTAACATATATTGGTTATGTTTAAGCTTGAGTTTGATTTAATTTGTATTGACTTGTATTAAACAATATTTTGCTCTTTGTTTGTGTTATATTTAAATGATAAAGATTTGTTTATTTTAATTATTTATTATCGATTGACTCATTTATTTTTAATATAGTGGAACTGTGGTTCCAACCCGATCTAACCCGTGCTACATTGGGATGGTTTGGGTTAGTTCTAGTGCATGATTGGTTTGGTTAATTGATTGTGATTGGGTTGGTTCTAAATTTAGTGCCAAGATGAACCAAACCGACCCATGAACACCCCTAGTGTTGAGTACAGATCTCCCCTTCCTTATGTATTTGTCTCATTTAATTACTATCTATATCACTTAATGTGGATAGATAGTATGGAATTGAATATTTGAACATAATAATTACTTTTGCGAAACTTGAGATTGTTTTTACTTAATTTCCATTGGTCCTTCAGATATGGAAATATTATTTAATGTGATTTCAGATTGCTTCAAATAAGGCAGAAATTATTTAGTAGCACCGCTGTATTCATGCCCTTGATTTGTTTTGAGACTTCTATTGTTTTGTGCTATTCTTAGGTTTTCATCAAAAACAATTTACTTAATCTACTTGAAATGCAGAATCGAAATAAAAATGTTTCTAAAGAAGTAATATCTAAGTTTTTCATCCCCCGGATTTTCTTCTTCTTCTTTTTGGCTTGGTTTTTTGGTTTTTTGGGCTTTTTGGAGAAAAGGAAACATGATGTGAAAATGCCATGTGTTATTGATTATTTTGTCTTCCTTACAGGTTGTTGGTGAGGTGAATTCTGTGAAGAATGCTATAGCAATTATTTCGTCACGCTTGAGGGAGAGCCAGCATCGTGATCGTACTCATTTTCATAATCGACTACATTCACCAGACCGTTTTTTTCCTCATGATGATTTTATCCCTCACATGAACAATACACCGCGTAGAATGTCTGTGGATGGATCTTCTTTTGGGTCAAGATTACCTGCCGGTTTGGCTAGTGGGAGAAGCAATAACTATGTCTCACATCCATCTGGCTATACAATTGAATCTGGGGATACTCCTGTAGATGACGATGTACAGCCATTTTCTGTTGAGGATCTTGTTTTTCGAATACTTTGCCCCATTGACAAGGTTGACAGTGTTGTTGGGGAGTCAGATGGAATTATAGAATTACTTCAAAATGAAATTGGTGTGGATGTTAAGGTTTCTGATCCAGTGGCTGGGTCAGATGAACAGATAATTATCATTTCATCTGATGAGGTACTTGCTATTTCTCTTCCTTTTACAAAGTAATGTGTGGATTAGTTGTCCTTCTAGCTTCTCAAATTCTTATGAACTCAAAATGGGTAAAACATCCTATCATATTGAAATGATAAGTAGATAATAGTAGTGGTAGATTCTTTCTCAAATGATCCTTTTATTCTTTTTGCAAAGTTTTAAAGGATATAACAGATGTTCTAGTTTATATATGTTCTCAGGGTCCTGACGATGAACTGTTTCCAGCTCAAGAAGCTTTGTTGCACATCCAAACTCGCATTGTTGATCTTGTTTTGGAAAAAGAAAATATAATTACTACTCGGTTAGTTGTTCCATCGGGTAATGTTGGATGTTTAGAGGGAAGGGATGGATCGTTATCTGAGATGCGAAGATTAACAGGTGCAAACATACAGATCCTGCCTAGGGAAGAACTTCCTGTATGTGTATCAGGGACTGATGAGCTTGTACAGGTTTGTCACTAAATATATCTGCTAAAATGCATAGAGAGCCAGACTTGTTTGATGCATGGAGTTCTACATTAACTCTGGTGTTTGGTGCACTGGAATGAAATAGATTGGGAATGGAACGGTCATTCCTTAACCTCTATATGGAATAACTATTCCATTATAATTGCCATCGGTGATTCCACTTGTATTACATTTTTCATTATTTTTTTACGTTGTATTTGGTCCATGGATTTGGGTAAGAATTTGAAAAGGGAAAGGGTAAAGGAAAAGGTAGGTGAAATGTGAGTGCAATATAATTACATTTCACCTACATTTTACACACCTTTTCTCTTTCCCGTTCCTTTTCCAAATCCCTACCCAAATCCATAAGTCAAGCACAGCCTTAGTGAACCAAACGTAGGAATGGATATTATGATGGAATGCCATTTTACTTCATTACGGTTGTTGTTTTTATCAATCTTAAGCATCAGATTTGTGCATATGACAGGGTATATCCCTATGAAGAAAAACCCTCAATTATCATAAAGCTTTTGAACTTTAAGAAGTGTAAAATCCCTGAGCAGCAGAGAATGTTTGTCCTTTCAATCTTTTCTTTACTTTGGATATTGCCTTCATTCAAATAGAAATCTAAAGAATTGAGTTGAGTATGGACACTATCAGATTGGTACTTCTTTCTTCAGCGTGTGTCATGTGTATCTCCTCCTCCATATTGGAATAGTGTCTTTCCATTTTAGAAATGTTGATCATACCAAACAACACTTAAATAGTCAAGAACACAAAGTGGCCAAACAAGGGCTTGAGTTATTTTTGGTTCTTGCATTATGACCTTCTACTTCATGTTGTCTACAGATTGTAGGGGAGATAAAAGCAGCTCGTGAGGCTCTTGTTGAGGTGACATCAAGGCTACGGAGTTATGTGTATGGGGACTTCTTTCAAAGGGATATGCCATCACCATCTATGCTTGCATCCAGCCCTGTTGGGAGTGCATTGGGACTGGAGGCTGCTTCTTCGAATAATATAACTCCACCTAGGGAAGGTTATACTGGTACTGGAAGTGATCCTCCTCCTTCGACCTATCAGAATGTACAAACAATGCAGCCAGCAAAGGTAAGTAGATTGGGAAATCCTCTTCTTTCCTCTTCTTCCCCCCTGCTATATAAGCTCCTTTGTTTTTCCCCTTCTGTAATTCTGTTCTTAGTTGCATGAAGTGGGTGTAGGGTGGAGGAGCGAGGGGATATACAAGTTTCTAAGATTGGGAGCACCTATGGGAGCATGTATATATTTTATATATTAAATATATATATTTTTTTCCTGTTTAGTTGTAAGATATGTATTAAAATATGAATCATTTTTGGAGATTGATGTCAACTACGAATTGCCTTTGTTAAGTATAAGTAAATATTGTGAATAGAAAGTATTAGAATAAGTTGTTTTTCTTTTATTTTTTTGAGATCTGTATACTTGAGAGGTTCTATTTTTGTTGGGAGCGAGTTTTTTTCTCGATAGGAGCGAGTTTCTTATAGGTTTCTTACTTAGGAGTGTGGATCGCATTTTTGAGTAAGAAACATCATCGAAGTACGAGTTTCCTACTACTAAGGTTCTGTTTGCTTTGGTGGTTACTAGCTCCATTATACTTGATTTCTTTTAGGGTAGGTGGGACACACTCACAGAAATCTGACAAAGCACACGGTGAAACCATAAAAATTGTTTCCAGGAGACATTGAGTTACTTTTTGGGATTTTTAAACTTTCCCAATATCCATTGCTTTCTGAACTGTGCCAAAATATCTTCTGAGCTAAATGCACCAGTTTTGCTGTTTCCAAACAAGCCTCACTTTTGGATGTTAACAATGTGCCCTTGTTTTGTAGGATTTTGGAGGGTCTGTTAGCGAAACGGTGAAACAGACTGAAAATGAGCGTCGTCCCGAAGACATGCCAAGCAGTTTGAACAGGTAGTCGATCTCTTCTTCGTTTTACTATATTCGTTGGGTGTTTGGTGTAATCCTAAAAAAGCCAACTTTTGCCCAATAAAGCCAAAAAGTCACTAAGCTGTCTTTTGTTGCTAGAATCCCTGTACCACTTGTCACTAGGAGTATACTGGAGGTTGTCATACCACAGCATGCAGTGCCGAAGCTCATAACAAAATCGAAGAACAAGCTTGCCCAGATCAGTGAAGTAAGTCCAAGGATACTTCAAAAATATGTATGCATCAATAATTAATAGAAATTTAAGAAAAATTTAATGCATTGATGGATATATGATGTGCCACAAGATAGAAGTATGATTTTGGATAGCTCACAAAAATAAATAAATAGATAGATAAATTAAAAATAACATAGTATTGAATTGATAATAAAATATCATAATTATTGTTCATTATACATTCATGCTAAATTTGTGTGTTGCTATGAAGTACCGAAACTTCAAAATGGGTGCCATATCTGTGTCAAACATTTATTGGACTCCGACATGCTAGGGACATGGCACAAGGCGTGTCAATTTTTTTAATTATTATTTTTTGCAGACACTTCAGGGACACTTACTGAACTTGTGTCTTGTGTTTTGTGTTTTGATATATCTCAAGACTACCTTCATGAGTTTTCTTCTTCTTCTTTTTTTTTTTTTAGAAAATTGATTTGAGGTCAAAAGTAGAATATATGAAATTAAGGAGGGAGGGAAGTAAAAAAAAATACACCCACTTATTGCCCTAAATTTATATTCATATATATAGTAAACAAAAATATATAAAAATAATAATGCTTTGTCATATTCTGCCTTGTTTGTATCTTAATTTTTTCAAAATTAGGGTGTTGTGTCCATGTCTGTGTCCATGTTCTTGGTTTAACTGAGACCAAGTTTTATGTATATTGATTTGCTTTGTTTAATCAAAACAGCTGTCAGGGGCCAGTGTGAAACTTATTGAAGATAGACCAGACGTAACAGAGAAGACCATTCAAATTTCGGGTACTCCAGAGCAGGCTGAGAGAGCCCAGAGCTTGCTTCAAGGTTTTATTTTGAGCAGTAAGTCTCTCTCTCTCTCTCTCTCTCTCTCTCTGACAGAAATCTCAGCTTGATTTCCAATTTTCTTATTTCCTGATAAATACAGCCCAAGAAGACGCCCCTTGAAGTGGCTTAGCAATGTGCACGTGTCTGAGGCTTGACTCAAAGAGCTGGTTTAGTGGAGGGATGTTTAAGGCAGTTTTCATCTATAATTCCTGGTGTAACCCTGGAGAGCAAGGGTATCCTGGTTCATGATCCAAGGCAGAGAATGGTATGTGCATATTGTAGAAATGTACACAGTGAAGCCAAGTAAGCATTGTAAATGTATTCTATGAACAGCTCTGAAATTTTTTTTTTTGTATCCTTCAATGTATCAACTTTTTCACATGATTCCGGAATGGATTTGAGTTGTGATGCCCCATCCCACATCAGGTGGGAAGGAAGGATATCTGATGCTGTGCAAGTAGCAGACTTTTGGACCTTTGTACTACAATGCCTTCTCCTTGGGGAGAACGAAGTCAATGTGGACATACAGTGTGGTGTTGTGTTGCGTTGTGTTGTGTCGTGAATTGTTGTGTTTCGTTGTGTTGTGAATTTCCATAGTTGTAGTCTAGTAGTTGAGTTTGACTGGAAAATTGCAATTAGTCCTGCTGAGCTCTTGGAAGATGCTTACTAGAGCATCAATATCAGTTGTAGTCTAATAGTTGAGCTTGTCTGGAAAATTGCAATTAGTCCTGATGAGCTCTTGGAAAATGCTTAGAGCATCAATATCAAATTAGTTAAAATTTTGTTATATTTTAATTTAAAAGTTATTTTTTCTATTTTGATTTTACATTTTTTTAAATACGTTTTTCAACCAATTCTCTATTATTTTCTTATACTATTTAAATATTGTTTTATTCATTTTAGTTTAGAATTATTTTTTATAAATTCAACACGATTAATTTCAAAATATAAAAAGTAATACTTTTTTAATTTTTGGCTAGGGTAAACTAATTGGCTACATTGGTTAGTTGAAATTATCAAAATTAAAATGGCTAACTTGATGGAGGTGAAATTTAATAATTTATTCACTGTTTTAGCTTGAAAGTAAAAATAACTTAATTCGCTTACCACACAAGTTTTCTGTGTTGTTTTTGCTTTTATCTGAATTTTAATGTAGAAAATGGTATTATTTCTTTTGGGTGAATAGAAAATGATTTTTAATATTTGTTTATTTATTTATTAAAGGTTAGGAAGCTAGGAGTGAGCCAAATTGATGATGGCGGTTCAACTAATTTAAAAACAATAAGGGTAAATTATTTGTCGTTGGATATCAAGTACTATTAAAATAAATTTTAACAAAACCGTTATTAAAAATAATTTTTTTAACGATTATTTACATGTTGCTATAAATTGATAATCAATGATTTTTTTATTACAATATTTATAAATTGTCACTAAAATTTATAATTAGTGACATTTTTTTGTGATGAATTTTTCAAACAGTTGTTCAAAGTTGAAAATTAGTGACCTTTTTTTGTGACGATTTTTTTAAACTGTTGCTAAAATTTATAATTAGCGATATTTTTTGTAACAATTTTTAAATTGTCGTTGAAAATTAACAATTAGTAGACATTTTAAAATAGGATTTGATGAAAAATACAATTAATTATCATAAGACTTATTGAATAATAAATTTACTTATTAGGACATGTACGTAAGTTTCCTTTAAAACAAAGCAAGCCCAACCAAAAATAATAATTATAATTAATCAAAACAAATTAAACCTTATGTTGGGTATGAAAAACTTAGATTGTGTTTGGATTTAAGATTTGAGGAGTGATTTGCGAAGAAAGGAAATGTGATAAAAATATAAGTTACAGTATATTTAATTTAAAATTTTCATTTTATTTCATTTTTTTCTATAAATTCTTTCTTAAATTCTTTATTTAAACACACTATAAGACTCTTTGCTTATATTTAAGTGATTTTATATTTTTTTTATTTCATTTCATTTTATATTTTAGTTAGGAAAAATTATAAGTAGAGATTTGTTCAAAATACGTATTCACTTTTGTAGTTTAGAAAATTTGCAAATATTCATTTATCAAATTTTTTTATTTAACTAAATTAATTGAAAAACAAAATTTCTAACTGCTCTCTTACACGAAAGTAAAAGTATATGAATTATTAGTTGAAATAGAATTTTGACATCATTAAAAATTGTTAATTGACTTGATTTATTAATAAAAAAAAGTTGTTTGTTATGAAATTAGAAATTTCAAAAGATAGGATATAATTTTCAAAATTATAAAAAAACAAATTATACTTTAAACAAATATTAAAAGATGTATTTGTAATTTAATCTTTTAGTTAATTTAGTGCTCTGCAACATTAGTCTTTGCCCAAATTGATGATATAATAGATTTGTGCCAAGCAATTTGTGTAGGCCCAATTTTATTCATCAGTGATGTAGTAGATTTGGGTCCAAATTTATTAGGCTATTTAACTATCTAATATTGAAGCCCACCAGAAGAATGGGCTTTTCTCTCTCTATCAAGTCTGAACGTTTGAACAGGATGAAGACGCGTGGCACAGACAAGATCGGGCGGTGAATAGGAGTCCACGTCGAGTCTCCAGTAAGGCCGCGTTTGGCTAAGATGAAAGAAACGAGTTATAGGCTTCGATAGATACATACATATATACATGTAAATGCCTCTCTCTGTTGTGTTTTTTTTTTTTATTCAAAGCCTCTCTCTGTTGTGTTGAAGACTGCTCCTTTCAATGGCTGCTTCACTTCTTCCCTGTCCTCCTTCCTCCAACAACTACAGGTAATACTTCTACAAACTATCAAAATTCCCCTCACTTTTTGTGTGCTTGTATATATATATATATATATGTATATGCTTGTTTGAAACATTTTTCTTCTGATTACTTTCATGAATTGAATGTTTACCTTGGGTTATAACTTCATTGTTAATTCTCTAGGCTTTTATTCTGTTTAGTTTCAGCTATTATAATCCAATTTGTTAACTGTGAGCTTTTTGAAAAACCATCATAATAATAATACCATCTAGAGATACATTATCTATTCTTTTTTTTTTTGTTTAAATTATTATTATGTTTTTTAAAATTTAAACATTAGAAGATTTGTTTATTCCCCCTTTGAATTTCTTTCTTATTTTAATTGCAAAAATTTGATTAATCAAAGTTTAAAGGATGGAATGGAATAAGAGAGTTAATTGGGAGAAAATATTGCAAATGATTTGTATTTTAAAAATGCAAGTGAAAGAATGTGGATGATTTAAGTGAAACAAGACCCGTACATGTCATTATTTCAATTTTCATTACTAGTCCAATATTTCTTGTCCTTAAATGAGAATCTAAGAAGCTTGATATTCTCAGAAGGTGCACGTGCTTCTTGTGTTTGTGTTTGACATTGACACTCATTGGTTACATGTCTAAATGTGTCATCGGTTACATGTCTAAATGTGTCATATTATTTTGAAAGACAAACTTCAGAATACTTGGGAGACACACATGTTCTTTGCTTAGACATACATGAAACATATTAGAAGTCTGAACAACTTGACTTAGATGTTACAAAGACAAAAGCAAAATAATATAGATTATTCATATTAATCCCTCGTCTAAACTTTAGTGATTAATGTTATATTGCACATTTTATCATCTTCAAATGAAATATTCATATATAAGATATATAATAAATATATAAAATTATACATTTTATGCGTGTTCTCCATGTGTCGTGTCGTGTCGTGTCATGTATCCCTAAAAATTGATGTGTTGACGTGTTCATGTTGTGAGTCCGTGCATCTTAGGCGACAATGTTGCCAGATCTCAGAACTTCTAATACAAAGCAAGAATCAAGGCTTATGGAGCCCTCCCATCCCACTTTGTAGAGAGTTAAGTACCTCTCTTCTTTGACCTCCCTTTAGTTTGGCTAGTCTTTTTTTTTTTTGATAAATAAAATTTTATAACTAAAGCATCAAGAAGATGCACTAGAATAACAAGAGAACAAACCCCAAAAGCAGGGGACCTACCCAACTAAATCATCTACAAAATCCAAGAAAACAAATAAATTAGGATCCACCCTTCCCGACATCCAACTATATAGAACACCAAAAAACCGAGATTCTAACTGAAGCACCGATTGACTACACCCCTAAAAGTTCACCGATTCCACTCTAACCAAAGCAACCACATCAAACACAGAGGAGCTATTGCCCAAGCTCTCCGCCGCCTCTTCCCAACTCGGTACTCCCCCAATAATGAAGAACCTCCATGACCCAGCCCGGCTGAACCCACATCATGCCAAATAACGAAAAAATAAGTGCCTACAAAAGAAAAGCAACCGAACAATGAAGAAGCACATAGTCCACTGTCTCCGCATACGCACCACACATACAACACCAATTAAACATAATATAATGATGCCAATGAATCAAATTATCAATATTCAAAATCTTGCTGAAAGCTGTCATCCACACAAAGAAAGCCATTTCTGATGGAACACTAGAGAGCCAAACTCGACGGTAAGGGAAATCTCCCCCTCCTCCCCCCAAACCAGAGCATCCTACCCCACCCGACCAATCTCAACCCCATATAAAAAGGTCAACAAGTCCACCAACTGCCTAACCTCCCAATCTTGAGTTTGGCGACGCAACACAATATCTCAAACCACCCCCTCACCACTCCCACCCAAATAAGAAGTCACCAACACATTAGGATCCATTGCCAAACAAAAAATCAACAGAAAACGCTCCTCTAAAGCAACCTCCCCACCGATCCTTCCAAAAACACACCCGAGCTCCATCAGCCACCCAGAACTGAATTTGGTCCCAAAACCCCATCCGCCCCAACCAAATACCCTTCCACAACCGACACCCATGAGAACCCCCAACCTCAGTACACCACTCACCCCTCCTCAACCCATCTTTAGAAGCCACCACCCATATTTTGGCTGGTCTTCAATTACAAGGGTTCATAAATTTGTTGCTAGTCTTTTTTTCTTTTTATTTTTTATGTAGAATATATTATGATCGTCAATCTCCAACTCAACCTATGATAGAGTTGGGGACAATTTACAAGCTTGGTATTTAAGTAAGTTTCAAGTCGAAGTGTGTTAAAGGCTATGTTTGGATTTTTGATTTGTGTAGGGGGAAAGGAAAAGGGAAGGGAATATTGAAGGAAGTAGAAGCTTCTTCTTCTTTCTTTTTTTTACTTTCCCCTTTCCTTCCACGAATCCAAGATCTAAACACAACATTAGGATCTTGGGGATTTCAAGAGAAATTCTGAAATGATTTCAATACTTGTATACTGTGCATGTGGAAAAGATAAGAACCTGAAGTAGTATTTGGGATTTTGTTTTTCTGGTCAATTTTGATGTTTAAGAATAATTTGAGAATGTTGTTAGTTTGAATCTAGCCTGTTAAAGTGTGGATGGACACAAGTGTCGGTAAGGTAAAGTTTAAAACTTTAATCTCGCATATACTTATGAATACTTTTGGACTAAAGATTGTTCACTACTTTACTTTCTTACCATCATCCACATTTGTTATTTTGTTTGTTGTTAATTGTAATGTCTGTGTGGATGTCTATATCATATTTTTGTCATTTAGATGGTTCACTAGGAATAGCTTGTGTTGTAAGAATTCATACCTTATCTGAAGATTACTGCACAGCTATTGGGTTCATTTGGATGCTCTTTTCAGGATGGGTCAACTGTGTCTACACATGCATCCAGACCAATTACAGAAAAGCATCATGTGTTTGTCTGTTCATATCCAAAGTAAAGCATGTAACAGGAAGTTATACATGATACCTGGAGGAGCCATTTCCGATCGCCATGTTTTGAGAACTTCTGCATCAGCTGGCTCAATTGAATTAGATAGCACACACCAAGGAAATGAAGCTTCTTTTAGTGTTTGGGGTCCAAATGATCCTCAAGGGTAAGAATATATTTAACTGATTGGACGTGTCACCATTCAGTTTTGGCTTGAGTTTGTTGATCCTACAGTATGCATATGTGGATGCACATGAATGCAGTTGACTAAGATTTTCACTTCTCTAGGAAAAATCTGGCCTAAGAAATTTGTCATCTGGCATTCTATTGTTGTATGAATATGTTCATCAGGTTAGAACTTTTTGATTTACATGCCAAATGATTATAATACACGATTACCTAAATGTTTCAGTACTAGAACTATCAATATGAACAGTGAGTCCCCTACTCTGTCATGTCCTAAATTGTCTCCTTTAATGTTTAATGTATTTCAAGGATAGTGTCAGCATTGAGTCATATTTTCAAATTGTTCAAATGCATAAATGTTTATATGTTTCACACTCGAAAACTAACCACAAGATTATATATTGATAGCAGGTCAAAAAAGTTGCTTGATTGCTCAAGGAATCCCTTGGAGGATACCACAGATTTTGAAGGACAGCTGCAGGAATTATTTGATGAAGTGAAAACAATGATTAAGATGGGGAATGAAAATGATGCCATAGACCTCCTTCGAGCAAATTATGAAGCTGTGAAAGAACAGATGGACTCTGGTGCTAGAGGTATAGAACAAGCTGCCACACTAGATGTCATAGCCTTGGGGTACATTGCTATTGGGGACTTGAAGATGGTTGGCTCCCTGTTGGACGTGGTAATTTCTTTTTGCAATAAATATTCTACACGCTGATTCACACAAAAATGTGTGTTTATCATGTTATAGGAAACTTAAGGATGGTTGAGTCTGTCTACATGGTAATTTATTCTTTTTTGGAAAGCATTTGAAACTTTGATTGACATGCTTGTCTACGCACTGCTACCGCATCTGTGTATGTGTGTATTACGTCTAGTCTGTCTTAATGTTACGGAATCAATTTGTAACTCTGCCATTATTGTTCATTGATGGAGTGACAAGCTGACAAATGGCTGTATAACTCTGTTACCAAATTGACTGTCAGGGTATAGTGGAGCTAATCTATACAGGGATAAAAAATTAGAAAGGAATTAATGTGATTATTGTCTTTCATTGGGTTAAATTGTATATAGGTTCATCACCTATATAAAAGTTGTTTATATGACATACATATATATGTATGTGCATGCGCATGTGTGGGCACGCGCACACAGCCTTGCACCCAGAGAGAGGGAGGAGGGAGATTAGGAATTTTTTTATTTTTGTTTCTTTCGTATCCTATTTTCTGATACCTTTTTCCCCCCCTTTTTTTTTTCTTTTTTCCTTGGGTGCATGTTCATGCGAGGACAGTTAGATGAGGTCGTTGATGGTTTAAAGGATGACGAACTCCTTCTCGATTCAGTACTAACACATATGGGAAGTATGTATTCAGCTTTGGGAAAATTTGAGGATTCCATGCTTGCATACAGAAGATCTCTTGAAATTCTAGAGAGAGAATATGGTAAGTCCAACCTTTGGAATTTCATATGTTATGTAATTCCTAGTTGTGAAATGTGTTGAAAAACGTTGTGTGGCTGGACGTGGCTGGTGCCAGTTAGCATGGTTGGACTAGGCACCCTTGCACAATAGGTGAAATGGGAAAATTTTAGAAAATTTATCCACACAATTTTAGTCCCAAATGCATCATGGAAGATTTGCTGGCTTTTAAGATTTGACATGCTTTCTTCACTAGACCATAATTGTACCAAAATAACATTTATGGTAACCAGTTTTCACAATGATGACATATGTAATTATCAAAATTTAATCAACAGGTTTTTACACTACAGTAAATGATAAAGGTATTTACTCAAGTGATCTGCTAGAGTGTGAAAATTTGCCCTTGGATGTTCATATCTTCATTAAATTAGGCACTGATTCTAGTTATTTTTATTGCTTCAAGAAATAATTAATACGATTACTTCTTTCTCAAGTTTGTTTAGTAAGCTCATGCTTAGTTTGTGAATGGTCCTAAAGATGTAATTCTAAGCATGTCCTCTAGGGGACACCCCAGCAGCTTAGGTCGCATTCCCCCAATAAAGAGACTCAAGTTTGAGTATCCTTACATTACCTCAAAAAAAAAATAATATAGTTCTATGCCTAATATGAATTTCTTTTTAAGAACTCTTGGTAAAACTTCTATGACTAAGATGAGAATTTCTTGAATGGTGAGAGGAAGGTTATCTCAAAGTTTAAGGGAACAAAATGATAAAGAAATCTCATAGTTATCTTTTCCATTTCATGTTTCTTGCTTGTGAATTACAAGGAAGTGAGGAACTGCAATTGCCTCCAATAGTATAGCTTATTAGATCTTTGTAGGTACATGAATACGGATGTCTGACGTGGTGAACCACACCATCACTACGGGGTTGGCTTGTCTGACTCTGCTCCTTACCTTGTCTTGCATGGCTCTGCTTTGAGCCTTGCATTGCCTAGCTCTTCTATAAGCCTTACCTTGCCTGGCTCTGCTCTGAGCCTCACGTCGCCTGACTCATTGCAAGCTATGATTGGAAAGACACTGCCTAGGTCAGGAGAGTGGCGTAGGAACCCTCTTAGGGTTGGTACGATATGCTCAAGATTACCATTAGGGTTTTTGACGTGGAGGCTAGAGTTGAGAGTTTTTCAAGGTGCCTCATCTCATCCTCCCTCATGTGAGTCTTAGACCATCTGTCCTTGAGCATGGGATAGCATGCAAGGGTGAACTCACCCCATAGCTCACCCGTCATATAGACAGAGGCATCCACCTCCACACAGGAGATGATAGCCAGATTCACCACCTCAGGCAAGCTTGGAGGCTCCTACTACACACACACACTCTCTCCTGTGTCCTCCCCCCCTGGGTTAAGAATAACAAGAGCACCTTATTTCTCACTTCCCCCACCTCTGATGCCCTACTCACCAATGACTACCCATGAACTTTCTCAGTTTCATTACTAGATTTTCTCTTTGATGCATATGCTATCTCAATACTCAGACTTATTCAGCACAAACTCATAATGTGATATTGAGATAGGCCTTTTCTATTCTCGGGTAAAGAAAATGATGTTCAAGAAATATCAATAAAGTATGCATCTACTGAAAGCTGAAAAATGCTCCAAGTCCAAATTACTTTTTATTTGTTATTATACAAATATTTTACCACAATCTTCTGTCTAAAGATTCTTTTTTTATTGTACTTTTTTTTTTCCATTCATTTTGTTGACACTGTTCTTTATGGCTTTCCTCTCTTTTTTCTTCTTGCTGCTCCTCTTGCACCACCGTCATCTTGTCCCTCTATTCTGGTGTAGTCAATCAGTCTTGGTTTCACATAAGAGTACCGTTTTTGCTGAACAGAAAAGCCTCCATGGATTAAGTAAATAAGCTATTTGAATAGTAAAAAATTAATGCGATCCAAAAATTCTTTTTGAATTTTTAGATGTTTATGAAGAATGTAGAATGATTTTTGAGTTCTTCCTTTTATTTACTTGAGCAATATTGAAGAGAATGAAATGTAATTGTTCAATGCATAGGTTGAGTAATCACGTACTAATAAAAGTAATTACTTTAGTCACCGCCTTGATCTTTGCAAATTCTAGTTGTTAGGATTATTTTTCCTAGATTATAATCGAGTCCATTTTGTTCTCCGCAGGACCATTGTCAGCACTAAATGGTTCTGCTGGTTGACACAGTACAAGCTGTTCTGGTTCTTGTTATAGCCATTCTAAACATTTTCTTTAATGTTCAGTAGTATATGCTGAAGACAGCAATCCAATGATTAAGTAAAAAGCTGCTTCTATTGTACCAAAATAACATTTATGGGTGTTTTTCTTATCACACCGTTACTAGGGATGGCAAAAGTACTTGGTTCTATTAGAAGAGCCACAAAAGCAGTAGAGGTATATCACCGTGTGATTACTATATTCGAATTGAGCAAAGGTGCAGAGAGTGAGGATTTGGTGGTGCCTTTACTTGGCCTCGGCAATCTTTTAATGAAGGAAGGAAAAGCTATGGATGCTGAAATTCCTTTTATGAGGTAATTTGGCTCTGTATATTGCTTTCGGTGGTAGAGTTCAATATTTTTATGTGCTCTATTTATTGACTTCCTTTTGTTTTATTTTTTCATTCTGTGATGAATTGTAGAATCCTCAACATATATACAAAGTTATATGGGGAGAATGATGGAAGAGTTGGAAAGGCTATGTGTTCGTTGGCCAAGGTGAAATTTGCAAAAGGTGAACTTTGTATTCTTCGTTCTATACAAGTAGTTTTCTTCTTGATTTCCTTTAAGTAGTAGGATCATGTTAACACCAGTTCTTGTGTGGGATCAAAAAGTTGCTCATTCTTCTATGAGCATGTGACAGTGAACTTTTAATGTAGGAGTTCATTCATAGATGGAGATCTATTTCAAGTTTTTTATTACGGGTTCACGTTCCATTTTCTTACAGGGAATGCTGATGAAGCCATTCAATTATATATAAATGCTCTTCAGGTCCTCAAGGATTCAAAAGGTATGCCTTTGGATGACAACGTCATGGAAAAGATGAGGATAGAAGTAGCAGAATTGCTGCATTTAGTGGGAAGGTATGCCTTTGTTTCAGCTCTGCCACTTTTCTAATTAGGAAACCTCATTGTGCTCAGACTACAATAAATTAACTAGCTATGTTTGCATTTAACAAAATAAATTGATAGGTTGAGAAGCTTTAGGGATGTTCTATATCATGTGAGCATAATATCTCTTAATGGCTTTCCTTTCTCGGGATTTGGGTTAACATGTTGAATTTAGATGTGCTTAAGGCCTGTGTTTGCTCTTTTACTGATTATGAACCTTTCTTCTACCCATTTCATGCCAAACTCTTGATCAGTTCCTTAGAGTTGTCTCTATTCACAGATCTGGGTTAAGAATATTAAGTGTTAAAATATGTTTGCAAGAGTAATTATTATATTTGAAGGTATGATAATATTGGACGTGCTATTAGGTTATGAATTGGTTAATGGCCTAATGAGCAGGACAGATTGAAATTTGCTATCCATGTGCCGACCACAATAAATAAATAAATTTGGAATCCATGCAGCATGTGAATTTCTGGGAAATGGTTGATAAATTGAACCAAGTTTAAAAAAAATGGTTGCAATTGATTTTAGATCATTGTCTTCTCAATCATATATTGGTTGCTTTCAGAGGAAAAGAAGGTCGTAAGTTACTAGAGGAGTGCTTGTTCATCACTGAGAAGTATAAAGGAAAAGAACACCCTAGCTTAGTTACCTATCTTGTAAATCTTGCAACCTCTTTTTCATGCTCCAAGAACTTTGTGGAGGCTGAGCGCTTGTTGCGGAGGAGTTTGCAGATCATGTTGAAGACTGTGGGACCCAATGATCAGTCCATCACCTTTCCAATGTTAAATCTTGCAGTTACTCTCCACAACTTAAACCAGCATGAGGAAGCTGAGCAGGTAGCTGTGGAAGTTTTGCGCATCCGTGAGAAAGCATTTGGAAAAGAATCTCTTCCAGTTGGTAAGCTTATGTTGCCTTTTGCTATATAGTTAAATTGTTTTGAACATTTTGTCTTTTTGATCCTTTCTCTTTGATATGATTGTTGAAAGCCATCACTGCAATTTATAACTTGCACAGTTATCAAACCTAACGTTAATGTTAACCTGGTGAGATGACTTGAATCAAATGATCCATTGGTTCAACAGCCAGGTTATACTATTGTAGCTGTTGAACTGGATGATACAAACATTTATTTTGAAAATGATAGGGTTATGAAAAATATATAAACATTAACGTAGGGTTGTAGCTGTGAAGTATGGGTTGGGTTGGGGGGAGTGGTGTATGAGGAGGGTGGGTGGGTCTCATGGTTGTGGTTTGTGGAAAGGTATTTGGCATGGTTGGGGGGAGTTTTTGGAGCATATTCGTTTCCGGGTGGGTTTGGGAAATAGGGTAGGTTTTGGAAGGACCATTGGTGTGGTGAAGTGGCTTTGGATATCCGTTGATTTTTCGCTTTGTTTGTGGATTCGGATGCTTTGGTGGCCTCTTACTTGGGAAAGGGGTGGGGTTGGTAATGGGGTGGTTTGGGATCTTCGGCTGCGTTGGCTGGTCCAGGATTGGGAGCTTGGTCAACTATTGGATATTATGAGTTTTCTTCATAGGTTGCGTATAAAGGGGAGGGAGGAGGATGTTCTGGTTTAGGGGGGTATGGGTTCAAAAGGTGTTTTTTCCGTGTCCTTTTTTCATGAAATGTTATGTGGAGGTGGGGTGAGGGAGTTCCTTTGGCGGCGGATTTGGATTACAGGTTTTCCTTCAAAGGTGACTTTCTTTGTATGGTCAGCGGCTTTTGGTAGGATCCTTATAATTGATAATTTGATTCGACACGGGCATATTTTGATTAATTGGTGCTGCATGTGTTACGGTGATGCGGAATCTGTGGATTATTTGTTGATTCAGTATCCGGTAGCTTATCGTTTGTGGATGTTGGTTTTTTCTACTTTTGGAATTGTGTGGGTGCAACAAAAGGAGGTGGTGGAGTTCTTTGGGGTTGGAGTGGAGGCAGGTTGGAAAGCGGCGTCGTAAGGTTTGGGCTTTGGCCCCTTTGTGCTTAATGTGGTTGCTTTGGTTGGAGCGGAATCGGTGTGTTTTTCAGAGAGTTACTCGTTCTACATTTTGGTTAGAAGATAGGTTTTTGTAAGTCTTGTGTGGTTGGGTGTCAGGGCGTGTGGATCCTGATTTGTTTACTTTTTTAGACTTCCTTGATGATGTAATTGGCTAGTTGTTTTCCCTTTTTGGGCTCGTGTCTTTTGTATTCTTTAACACATTCTTGATGCTCTTCTTTAAAAAATTTATTTACTTATCAAAAACTATATATAAATATTAAAGAATTGTTGATATTGATATTTTATTTATGTTCCATTTAATATTTGAATTTTTGATAGACGTTTAATAAACAATGCATTACATTTACATGTATAGGTGAATTTAAATAATTAAATTCTGTGGAATTCGTGTAAATACGTGTGGAAAACCTCAGTGCCTATACAATGCACATCTTTCGTTCTTGTGATTATAGTAAGACCATAGTATTTTAGCCATGCTCACATGCTTGTGCGTATATATTTTGTGTTGAGAAATTAAAATATAGAGACAAAAGTTGCATGGAAGATAAAAAAAATAAAAAAGTAATATTGACAATTACAAGGAGGCGTGATAACTTGTGTTGCCTGGTGCATAAAAAGTTGAATTAACAATCTAGGTTATGTTTCATAATAGTTGTATGTTTATAAGAATAAATTCATTGTTACCCTGTCCAAATCTAATGCTAGTTCTAACTATGATTATTTAATATAATGAAATAGTGGCTCCCTAGCTTGCTTATCAGATTGACATCTATCTTTTTGTAATTCTACCCAGAAGCTTTTTTTTTTTTTTTTATTTAAATTTTTTTATTTATTTTAAATTTCTGTTATTTTATGTATTTTTCTATGATATGGCATCTCAGGTGAAGCTCTCGACTGTTTGGTGTCTATCCAATCCAAACTAGGGAAGGATGATATTGAGTTACTGGAGCTTCTGAAGAGGGTTCTGGCAATTCAAGAGAAAGGGTTTGGTTCTGAGAGTGAGGAGGTTATGCAAACCCTGAACAAAATTGTATTCTACCTAGACAAAATGGGAATGAGAGATGAGAAATTTCCTATGCAAAGAAGGTTGTCTATGCTCAGAACCAAATACAAACATATGGTTCAGTATTAGGTTGTCATTGCTAAAGCTACTCTTCTGCTTTGAAACCTATATAAAATGTCTATATGGGACTTCACCTTTCATTGTGTCTGATGGTGATATCAATCTTCCATGTCATAATGTTTAAATGAGAAACAAATTATGCGTCCAATTCGAGCCATAGTTGTTACAGGTGGTTGGAGCAGCCAAACTGTTCTCCAAACTGTCAAGGCAACGCTACCCAAGCGACTAGTAGGCTACACTATCATCATCATCATCAACCTCATCATTCTCACTATCATCGTCATTTCCAATGCTTCTCTGCCTGAGAGTATAGATTTAATTTTCTGAATGTGAGGAAAAAAAAATTATTTTTAATAAATTTTAGTGTATTTGTAATTTATCTGAAATTTAGGGCAAATTATGTTTTACCTTACACAATCTCATATCATTTTACTGTTTTAAACTAAAAATTGTAACACTTAATTTCCCTCCTCTATTAATTTTTTTTCAATTTAGATCTTAATAATGAAAATATCCTTTTAGTTATATGAGTAAATTATATTTTACTCCCTTGAACTATCACTTAATATTAGTCTACCCCTTCAACTAAAAGAATGTTTAATTTTTAATTCAAAATTCAAATTTTAAGCTTTTATTTAATAATTTTTTTTTGTATTTTTTAGTTTTAGTAATTTTTTGCAAAAAATAATTTTAAACTAAAAATTGTAACACTTAACTTCCCTCGTTTATTTATTTTTTTATATTTTAATTTAGATCTTAATAATGAAAATATTCTTTTAATTATAGGAGTAAATTACACTTTACCTCCTTGAACTAACGGTCAATATTACTGTACTCCTTCAACTAAAAGAATGTTTAATTTTTAAGCTTTTATTTAATAAGTTTTGGTATTTTTTAGTTTTAGTAATTTTTTGAAAAAATTAATAAAACATTCTTTAGAGCATCTTTACTAGCTTACCTAAATTTTATCCTAAAATATTATTAAAAAATTTATTCCATATTTTAAGAATCATTTTTTTATCTACTTCTCCCAACAAATTTCTTATTTTTTTTTCTATTTTATTAAAATGATCTTTTTAATTACTTTTAAATTTGAATTTTTTTAATAATAAAATAATGAAAGATGATGCCAACAAAGCAGCAACAAGCAGGGGCAAAGTAGGGGAGGAATTGAAAGATAGGTGGTTGACCGGCTGGTCGACTAGTCAGGTTAATTTTGGACATTCTTCTTTAGTTATAAGTATTTATGGGATATTCGAAAAGACATTTGGGGACGTCCCTTTCGTGCCTTCAACAAAATAAAATAAGAATTTATTAGATATGAAGGAATTACAATAACTCCTTACCAATAGAAAATTACCGTAACAATACTTATATTTAGGGAGTTGGACAAAAGACCTAATGAGAAAGAATTTATGAAGAATTCACTCGTTATAAATTATAATAACAAAAAGAGCTGATGCTCTTCCCAACTTATAGTGGAAGAGGTTTAACATTTTTTTTTTTGGGTTATTAGTTTAGGTTCCTCATATTGATCACATTAGGGTTGAGTAAGGAATCTGTATAATTCGTAACCCGATTTGGTCTAGTCCAATCTAGTAAGATTGGATTGGTTTTTTGAATCTGTGATTCAGTTCCGGACTAGAAATTTAAAAATCGGTAGGCCACGGATCGGTTCCGGATTGAATCTCACGGTTCCGGATTGGAACCAATCCAGACTGTATACATTTAGTCTATATTTATACCATATACCCTCCCACACAATATCACTTCTTGTTTCATATAAAAACTCAACACTAACCCTAATTTGTGTTATGCCGCTCAGCTCTCTCTCGATACTCTGTCTCTTTCTCTCTCTATCTCTTCTCTTTCTCATCCATCTCCGATCATCATCCATCGCAGATCTTCAACCTCATACGTTGCTCACTCACTCACTGCCTCTCACACTCTCATCTCTCTTTCTCTCGGTACTCTCTCTCTCTTCTCTTTCTCAGAGACTCAGATCCTCCATCTCCGATCATCCATCTCAGATCTTTAACCTTACACGCCACTCACTCACTTCCTCTCACACTCTCATCTCTCTCCTTCTCTTAGATCCTCCATCTCAAATAAGATCAGATCATCTATCTTAGATCGGTAGCTGTAGCTCTCTCTTTCTCTTTTTCTCTTTCTCTCTCTCTCTCTCTCTTTCTATATATATATATGTATATATTATATTTTCTTGTTTTTGGGTTTCTTTTGTAACCTGTTTGCTGATTTTCCAGTCCCAGATTTGTATATATTTGGGTTTCTTCTGTAATCTTGCATTGTACTCTCAGATTAATATTATATTTGTCTATGATCTATTTGATTGCTATATTTTTTAAGCCATATTTGATAACTCTGCTCATATATGATCTGTTTGATTTCATCTTAGATCATCCATCTAGTTGATTGTTCATCTCATCTCATCTACAAATTCAGTAAATGTAAGTCTTTGATTACATGTTTAATGCTATTTAGTGTTTTTAGTTCTGCCTAGCTCAAAGTGCTAGTAATTCTTTACATCTATGCTATAATTTGTGTTCTAATCCTATTTTTATTTTTTTATGTATTTCTTTTTCTTGTTTGATAGATGTCAAGTACTGGAGAGACAAATGATGTCATCGACCTCTCTCAGTCTCAGTTTAGCTTGATCCTCAGCATTAAACTCCTACTGGTTCAAAGGTATGCCCCTTTTCTCCTAAGCCAAAAGCTTGACAATACTCTGCTATGGTTATGTTTTTTAGAAATTAAAATGTTCTATATTTTTGTTGTTATTTAATTATGTGAATCCGTGGTCCTAAACCGATCAGATTGGTTCAACGATTTAAACGGATTGGATTAGTTTCAATTTTTCATAACTGATTGGTCCTAATTTTACCCCAATCCGGACCATGCTTACCCCTAGATCACATACACACCCACACATACATCCATATCAATACATCTAGATAGAGAGAGAGAATCGCCTCGTGGACAGCTTCATCAACGCCAGCTAGATCTATAGCTTCGCGCTCTTCCTAAGCCTTCCGTCAGCCAGATCTTTTCGTCATTTAACAGATTTGAACCACATCACACCGCCGCCGACGATCTCGCCGTCGTGGTGTTTCTATTGGCGACGGTAGGAGTTGGAGATGGGGATACAGAGGCTGTGGGGGGAGAGAGAGAGAGACGAGTGATGGTGATGAAGAACACACTCAGGGCGACTTGTAGATTACAAACTGTTAGGACAAAATTACATTATTGTGATTTATACGACGCAAACGGAGAGTTGGAGTTTGTGAAGGTTTTGATTGCAATGGCTCAAGCTTCCATGGTATTCAAGGTTTTATATGACCTTTACTATACATACACATATATATATGCACGATTTATTTCAAGTTTTGATCTAAATGTTAATCACAACAAATTTTTTTTTTCTTTTAATTTACTTAGAGTAGTAAAGAACAGACTCTCTCTCTCTCCATATATATATATATCATGTGTAAAAATCTAGATTTTGTGTTTAATTGTCAGATTTGTTGAATGTTAATTTTGGCTTTTAAGAATATAAAGAGAAAACATGACATTTGGACTAAATCAGTGAAATTTTGAAGTTGTACATTTGCAAATTCTGATGCCATGCTTAACTCTATTTTGTTCGAAAGATTGAAAGTTTGAATCTTAACATGCTTATAAGGATGCAAACCAGATAAAATTATGAGCAAATCACAGAGAATTTGTGAGTGAACTAGAGAAAATTCAAATAAATCTAGATTTTGTGTTTAATTGTCAGATTTGTTGAATGTTAATTTTGGTTTTTAAGAATATAAAGAGAAAACATGACATTTGGACTAAATCAGTGAGATTTTGAAGTTGTACATTTGCAAATTCTGATGCCATGCTTAACTCTATTTTGTTCGAAAGATTGAAAGTTTGAATCTTAACATGCTTATAGATGCCATGCTTAACTCTATTTTGTTCGAAAGATTGAAAGTTTGAATCTTAACATGCTTATAAGGATGCAAACCAGATAAAATTATGAGCAAATCACAGAGAATTTGTGAGTGAACTAGAGAAAATTCAAATAAGAGAAATTTCAAAACACAAATTTCTCTGGTTTGAATTTTCTTTGATTTGAAAATACAGAGAAAATCAGATAAATTTCGGACATTTCTTTGTATTTCAAAATTTCTATAAAAAAATATTGAGGGACTTCAACCATTATGAAAATATTATATATTTTTGTCCTTTAAAATCTTAATATTAGGGACCTTAAAAAAAAATTTCCTATTTTTTTTCATTTTTTTCATGTGTTATTTAAATATTTTAAATTTTATATGTGCCTAAAATTTAAATATTTCTGAAGGAATTTTTTTTTAAGTCACTAAAAAAAAAAAGAAAAAAATATAAAACAAAAAATTGATGTATTTTATATTTCTTGTTTTAAGTGAACATTTTTTAGAATTTTTTTTTATAAATATTTTCATGATTTAATTTTCAATTTTTAAATTTTTTTCTATCAAACAAAAAATTAATTTAGGGATAAAACAAAAAAAATAAAAAAGTCCAAATTGCAAATGATATTAGGTGCTAGTTCAAAAGGGAAAAGTGATATGAGATAATAATTCAAAGAGGTAAAGTGCAATTTATCTGATCGATGAAAGGGTATTTTAGCTATAAAGGTTCAAATTTTAAAAAAAAAAAAGTAGATAAAAGGGTTTAATTGTTAAAATTTTTAGGTTAAAAGATAAAGTTATAATATGAGACAATAGTTGAAGGGGGATAAATTACAAAATTTATTAATATCTATCTGTATAAACTTATCAAACAAAGTTCTCATACTTTCCCAACAGAGCTATACCGCACCCAATGGAGGATTTTGGAACCTTCCGGAAGACTTGAGAACTTATGAGAATATTGTACGTAATTCTACACATTGTATATAATATTCGATAACAGGTTCTAGATAGTTGTAGGAAGGTTGTGGAAGGCCCTAAAAGGATTCCATACACAACATTAATTATACATTCTAGATTATTTTTAGAAGGCTAGGTTGCCTATATAAAAGGGATGCCTCATTTGGCCAATCCATCCAAGAGAAATAGAAAGCAAATCATTCTCTAGAGTTCATCAAATGCGAGTGAA